CCTTTAAAACCATAATCCCAAAGTGGACCAAACATATTTGCAAGACTAAATTGTGAACATACACTTGTCACCAATCCATGGCTCCTTCCTAGGCTTAATCCCACACCTACACTTGTCAACCATCTAAGCCAACAAGTGCACCAATCCTAGTCCAACAAGTGGGTGAATCCTCACCCTCCAAATGTCATCATCAAATGCATTAAAGTGTTTCCACACAAATGTCAACAAGTGGACCAATGAGAGTGTGACATTTGTCACACTTTTCAAAATTGCAAAAAGGTCTTTTTTGAAAATATCTTCCAAATTTAATTGCAAAATGGTCCCCAAGATGAAAAATAATTACTTTATTTAATTACACTAAAACCTCACAAGTTAAGAATAATTACACTAAAGTATGCATTAATGCCCCTTTATGAAAGAAGTAAGCAATCAACATGCTTTTCTAGAAAAGTAAAAATACCACTATCATGGAAATCAAATATCATGAATGCATGCAAAATCGGAATCAAATCTGAGCACAAAAAGTGAGGTTGTGCCAGGAAAAAGGATAAACGAGAAAAAGACAAAATGTGAATAGTGTTCGGAAAAATAAAATATGGAAATGACACAATCCCCAAAGAAAGTTGTCAATCCAAGGAAAAGAGTCTCGGAAATCATTCCAGAGCACTCGAGACGACATCAAGTGATGAAAAACCGAACCCAAAAAGGAAAAGACAACGGAAAAAAAAAAAAAAATATCCGTTAAAATCTGAGAAAAAAAAAAAAAGGAAAAAAAATGACCGGGTTATTACAAGTGCTTCCTACAGTGATGATTTGGATAAACTATGCTTTTAATGAATCTTATGCCTTGAAAATTCAAGTGGGGTATGGTAAGATACTCTTAATAAGAAGTCACCTATATGAATGTGAAGTGGGGCCACTTCTATTAGAACTTCTAAGGCTAAGTTTTTTAGAGCACTCTTGAAATACCAGGAGTTGTTTGGGGCCATACGAACACAATCGTGAGAACCGACTTTGTGTGGGAAGGAACTGTGTGTTTGCTATTGTCTTGGTTTACATCAACGGCTGAACAGTTCAAGACATCATGTTTACTATTTAGCCAGTAAATCCGATAATAATACACTATGGAAGGTTCAAGGCCAAAGGCTACCTATCCCAATGCAGTAACTTCCCAATAATACTCTATCTAATGTCTACATTTCTTTCATTTGCATTTGACACAAATTTCCATTCATGTGGGGGATTGTTGGAAATGGGAGTATTAAAAACATAAACTTTGGATGAAATTTGGAGTAGATTCCACTAAATTTTTTTTGCGGATCTATAGACGAGCGTGTTCCGCAAGGAGATAAACGTGGTATATTTACTTTTTCAAATCTGTTTCCGGGTGAATGAGAAATTAGCTCCAAAGTAAGGTGTTTGATAAGCTTAAATGGATTTGCAAAATGTGGAAAATGTTTGTCCCACATTAGAAAAATATTGAAACCATTTGAAGCATAAATAAGCTAAGTATGAGATTTGGGTTTGGGCCCAAGGGCACCCAAGTTTTTAAGAGGGGGAGGACCTTGGCAAGCTTGGTCCAAACCATCTACCACACATGCGCGCGCACGGTCCAGTCCGGGCTTGGGCTAGGCTTGATTGTGAAATCTGTTTAATTTTTTATTAAACGAAATTGGGCTTGCGTGTTTGATTTTATTTTAATTTTTTGCTGGGCTTATTTAGATGGGCGAAATGGGCCTACTTAATGGTCTGGTATTTAAATTTAAAAACCAGATTTTAGTTTTTCCAGAAAGGGTTGCACCCATTCTTATTTAAACTGAACCAGTGCATTCAGTTTATACCATTTTGAACTGCACTATCATAACTCATGCAGGTGATGGTTTAGGCCACCCAAAAAGGCACCTTGATGCCTATATAAACCCCCCCTTGGGTTCATTTCAAAGCACACCATTCAGAAATCATTTTTCTCCTTTCTAAATTTACTTCTCCCTCTCTCTTCTTCTATAAGTGTCTGTGGGCTCGAGCCCTTGTCTTTAGATTTGAGCCTTAGTCAGTGAGTTCGAGTCAGAGAGTACTACACTAAGCTGATTCGCCTATTCTTTTGGTTTGTAGTGCTACTACTAAAGGAAAACAAGTCATTGTATCTTGGGAGATAGACGTCACTAAGTCCGTCAGTACTATAGCGACGCGATTCTGTTTTAAGTACATAGAATCAAATTCTAACATCGACTTTTAATCAAGTTCATTTATTTTATAGTTTTTTATTTTATTATATTAAAGAAATTATATATATATATATATATATATATATATAGATTATTATTTTATAATAATAATTATATATATATATATAAACATTATATTCTTACATAATATTTAAATAAATAATACTACGATATATGGTATAGTTAGACCAAAGTTTGGACAACATTTGTTAATTAATATTTAAATAATAATAATGCGATTATCGATATAATAACTTTTTTTTTTTTCTTAAAATGGGTTGGTAGGTCATGACGGGTCGATCCGTCCATTTTTACCTAACTCATATTTAACTCGCTTATATTTGACCTTACCAAAACTCGACCCAAACTACTCTGTTTACCACCCTTAGATAAATTATATAAAGACACAGACCAAGATGCATGAAAAACACAACGTATTTAGAGGATCCGGATCCGAATTAAAATCCTCTTACGGGTTTAGTAGGGAATGCTATATATAGTAAGGTCCTATAAATAAACTTGATGATATATATAGTATAACATGAGTACAGTTAAAGCGACATCAACTGTCATTTAGCTACCACCAAACAAGAAACTTCCCGGACAAGGAGCCAAACCCACATGCAGGTCTTCACGCGTTCCCTCTGGTCCAATTTGACTAAAATGTATATGCGTGATTGACTTTAACTGGTCAATTCAGTATTTGTTTTGACCTAATGAGTAATGACACTACCTCATTTTTTGTTTGTATATATATATTTTTTTCAAGATATTTCATAACAAAAACAAAACCATTAATTAGTGCTACTGACATGACAGTGATAAAGGAATCACTTAAATATATGTAATTTTATTTATAAATTTTGTACGTGTCATGACTTATTGTATATTTGTGATGTTATGTGAACTACTAAAATCTGAATCACAATTCTTAATTTTAATGGTAGTTTGGTTAGGTAGCAGAATCCAAAATTAAATCATGCTACCGAAGTGAAAGCGTCATTAAAATTAAATATATATATATATATATAAAATCATATGCATATAACTTCACTCTCTCAAAGGATTATGGAGATTCATTGCATTTATATAATAATGACGAAATGGCCTTCTCAATTATTTGAATGAAGATAGATCAATTTGTCAAAATTACCCTTTTGTCGAATAAATTGAATGTAGCCAAAAGCTCCTCTAAAGGTTCACGGTACTTTGACTCTCAATTTATGGTACGCGGAGGTGGACCAACTATAGGTGGACCAGCTATAATTGAACCTTGGACTATAGTCCACCACAGCAGTACACATACTTGCATCTATAAAATATATATATATATATATATATATATTGATAGATATAGATATATATATATACACACACCCAAACTTCCCAAATAGAAGGGCTGTGCTCAAAAGTTCATACGTTGAATGGGTTCCATCACTGGCGTTCGACTTGAAATTAGTACTAACCAGACCCTAGAGCTAGATGACACTATTAAATTAATGCATGTGCCTTCATTTTAGAACATGCACTTTGCTTCTTTTTTCCTACCCAATGAAGCCAATATATAATCCACGATGAAAGTGACATCATGAATGACTTGCGCACTTTTAGTTTCATGCATGTACATGTACATATACATATAGATATATATATAGTTGACTAATAGAGGAAATAGAGTTGAAGCTGCGTGTGTCCAAGCGAAAAAGATTAAGATAATTTTTTATTTTTTATTTTATTTTTTATGTGTGCGTTAAGATACACAATCACATTATTAATGTGTAAAACTATTATGTATTTTATATAACTTTTTTTATACAGTCACATCAGTATATTTCCTTTCTCCTCTATTCTATTAACAAATCAAGCCTATATTAAGTAGGTTTGTAAAAATTATGTGAATTCAGGCATGACAATGATTGGTTATTAGTGGGAGATATATTTTTATACAAAAAGTATAAAATAACTGTTGAACTAAAAATAAAATAATTCAAATTTTTTGTATAAATCTATTATAACATATCACATTTACACAAAAAAATATACGCAGTGGTTGAAGATAATCTAAAGTAATAAAATGATTGACAGGTGTACCCAAAATGTAAAATGTCAAAAGTTAGTGATGTCTTATTTTTAGCTTTGATATCTATATCTAAATAATAATTTTGGTCAAATTATAGTAAATTCCTTGAACTATCACACAGTTTCAAAATATTCACTGTACTATTTTTTTTTTTTTTTTTTTTTTTTTTGACGACATACGCCTTTAATTTATTAAAAGTTAGAAAATTATTTCATTACCTTGGATGTTGAAATTCTTGTGTTAAAGTGATTGTGAAACTTGTATGAAATATTGGTTGATTGATCGGATGAAACGACAATAATACTTACCTTCTTATGGGTGAGTGAGTATCGTCTAAAAATACCCTCTTATATAAACGAAATTTTCTCTACAATTAATTTTATAAATGAGAAATTGACAGTGTTTGTGGCATGACGTTTTTGTCAAATTAACCACTTGCACCACTTTAATTCCAACAGCCGTCTAAGAGGGGGATAATTTACAACTTCTAGTAAATTAGGATATTCATTGCCAAATAATAATAATAATAATAGTAAAAGGGGATATTGTTACATCTTTATAATTAGGAGGGTTTAGTGCAATTTAATCTAATATTTTTAAATTAATAATGTCAAATGTTAAATCTTTCTCTCTTTAGTACTCCATAATAGCCTTTTATTTTGATATTTCAAACCCTTGTGGTTGATGATAATGCATTAATAGAATATATGCCACTTAATTAGGATAATTATAACTTCAACTTATTACAAACATTCATCAAGGATTATTATCCCTAAAAATATATGAAGGAGCATACACTCATGACTGCAGGAACTTGATCCCTTGATTATACTATGTTATATATATATTAAAATCAAAAGACAACAGCTAACAAAGTGGAAACTCATACTATAATTTCCACTGAAAAATCTCCAAAATAAAATTTTGGAACAAAAATTCAGCTCATAAGTTCCTGCAACCTCTGATGTATCCTTGAAATCTCCACACCAACTCTTGAAACTTTCACCTACAATTCAGAAAAATGAAACAAACATTTTTCACTATAATTAGTGTGTGTGTATATATATATATACCGTAAAGCACCAAAATAAATATTGGAATGCAAGATGTAGTAATATATCACCTTAGCATGGAGAGTGTGGAACACCTTATCACCCACAGTAGAAAAGCTAGCACTCACCACTTCAGTTTCTTCTTCCTCAAGAATGCTAATAACTTCATAGAGCAAAAAGTTCTTTTCCAATCCACTTATTAAAACCACTTCTATGCTCGAACCCAAGTCTCTTAATTCAACCATTGGCAGTCTAAGGCCAATCTTCATCGAATCTCTGACAATATCGTTGTTGCGCAATGCTTCTCGACTCTGCTTTAGTTCATCTATTCTTTCTTTCAACTGCGTTATGTACGCAGCAGCCTGATCAAGCTGGTCTTGCTGTGATAGCAAGTCCTGTAAAAAAAAAAATTCGAGAAAAATCAAATATGAATATTGTTTCATGTTTCTGTAAACAGTTATCGAAAACTCTGAAAATAGAGTAACATTTTCTTTTGAAATTAAATAATTTTTTACTCAATGTTCGATCCCAAAATAGTTTTACATTAATAACCAAATGAATTTTTGAACTGGTTCTTAAAAATTAGTTAAGAAAATTATGTATTTCCCTCGTCTGAATATTTTGAAAGATAGTAATTTTATTTTATTTTGCTTTTTTATTTTTTTTATATTTTTTTGTGTAGTTATCAGTCTCATTTTATTACTAATATAAATATCAAACTTGTAATGTATTCACAATTTCACAGTACTTATTATATTACTGATATATACACATTAGTGATATGAAAACGTAAGGACCTCATAACTTGCAAAAATATATATATATAAGGACCACATATTCATGTCCTTATTTAGAATTAACAAATTACAGATAGAGACAGTTGATCTAAAGAAGAAGTACACATGCAGTACGCAAAAAGAAGTTGTCTCTTTGCTTATATATAGGAAAGGAGTGAAGGAAATAACCAAGTTTAAAAGATATTCTCTTTAAAAGAATAAAATAATGTAGTAATATATTGAACTTGATGGATGAAAATATTAGATAATATTGTTGGAGAAACACATAACCAAAATATATATATATATATATATATATATATATATATATATTGTTGAAGAAATATTTTTAGGTTGATGCAAAATATGAAAGAAAAATCCTAGTATTAATTATTCTATGACAAAATTGGTAATTAAAAGAAAAAAAAAAAAAAAAAAAAAGGAAAAAAACTGGTTGAGACTCTTCATTAAATTTAATCAGTGAATGGTGGAATCAATTACTTTAATTTAACTTAAAATTACCTTACAAAGTTGTGAAAGAAACTTGTTGAGACTCTTCATTAAACTTAAGTTCCATTATCTGAAATACACATCCTTACTCCAATTTCTTTTGGATATATCATTTCAAGCATAATGAAATACCTCTAATTGAAAGATTAAACTATATGACAAAAATAATTTTAAATTCATTTTGGAGAAACTTAAAAAAAAGGTTTTTACCCAAAAATAAATAAAAAGGTTGATAATTAATGTCATCTGGTTTGCCCAGCTAGAAGCAAATCTATTAACTTGTAAAAATAGGAAAAACAGAAGCTTAATAGGGAGGGTTAATATATATATGACCCAAAAGTGAGAGAGAGAAAGAGAGAGAAAGTACCTTGGAGGGTTTGAAGTGGTGGGAAGGAATGAGAGAAGTGAGCTTAAAGCAAAGCCCTTTCATGTGAATCCTCCTGTTCCTCTCCACAGTCTTCCTATCTATTTTCTCAGAACTAGCACTACTCTTACCCTTCTTCATCCTTAATTTCACTTCTCTCACTCTCTCTCTCTCTGTGTGCAGAACAAACACAGAAGCAAAAAACTCAGAGAGTACACCAAGAAGGAATCTAATTAGAATTAGCATTCGGTGCAATTGAGGTACCAAGGTCAATATATATATATATAGAGAGACAGATATACAGTGAGAAACAAAACAAAACTAAGCGAAAGCCGCAGGAATCAGCTCTGGTCAGGTCCAGTGGGTCCCAGAAAACCCACGTAGAATTATCAGGGATTTGGCTGTTAGACATTGTGTATTTCAGTGTGGTCGTTATCTCCACATCGTAGGCCCAACATAGTGGGCTATATGACCCAGCTGACTCTTGAATCTTGAACGAACGACACGCTTTCACCGACCAATATATATACACACTACCTATATTTATTATTAACTTATTATATATATATATGGACGGAAAAAAACAAAACGTCAACGGAATTAGCGGAAGGGGTTTGCATCGGTTGGGTCGAGGTGCCATCGAATGGATCCAACGGATGCAAACCCAATTTGACCAACCTTTTCAGTTGTCTTTTGCTTCAGGTTAAAAAATTACTATTCTGCCTTTATGATTTTTCATCATCCAACGTCATGCTTGACATCTTTATGTATTAGTATATTTTGCATAAATTTTAGGGTAAAATGCAATAAACACCTCCTGAATTATTTGGATATTGCAAGAAACCCCTCATAACTATAAAAAAAAACTCCTCTCAACTATGTTTTTGTTGCAATTTATACATTAGCTCACTTTTCGATACCGAAAAAGTCAAAAGACCATATTACCCTTATAAAAAGATACAATTTTTATTTTAATTTTTTTGTAAGGCAAGTAATTCAATTTTTATCTTGAATCAATTAAGTGTAAAATCATTAAGTGTTAAACTCATCACATGTCTAACTCAAATCAAATCCATTCCCCCTATCTCTCTTTAGCTCTCTGGTGAACCAAGAGGGGAGGGGGTGAATTGGTTCATATAACTTATTCTAACACTTCATCAATTTTTTGCATACTTCAAGAGCTGTTAACTCAGTATTTATGAAGTGCTTTTAACCACAATATCTGTTGATCCTGTAACACCCCCACATTTTCCACGCATAAGTTGATCAGGCTTATACACGAAAAACGAGGGATATCAAAAACAATTGGCAATATACAAGCATGGAATACAAAATGATGGAAATAAAAGAATTTAGACAGGAAAGAAACATTAAATAATACAACATCCATCCATCCTTTATTTAATATAGTACTTCATTACAACTTGGAAATCCTACGTCAGGGATCCCTAAATATAACCCTGAGAGTTCAACGTCAAAAGTAAATAAAAACTGAAACTGAAATACTACATAAAACTTCTACCCTGCACTGGATCGTAGGAGTAGATGAGTTCGGATGATGGTCCCACACTGCTAACCTCAGCCTTGAAACGGATACTGACCGTATCCTGAAATAACAACAATGGTGGGTCAACCCCACGAGCAAGTCCTCTCTACTATGACCCAAATCAGAGAATCCAATAAATTAATCATTATGAATCGGATGAGTACTATATCTGTATACATCCTATGGGAACTATCCGATGTATAACATGACCTCAACCAGAATAGACGGTGATCACTTAGACTCACACTAGGTGGTTAAGTGTCGCCTTTCCCTACCCGGGAAATCAGCTATTATACATGGTGCACGGTACTGACAACACAGACTATAACGAACTACACAGTGATAACACCTCGCAAAGTACTGATGAATATACTGAGCATATAAATTAGGCAACACATGCCAACAATATTAAGAAATATACCGAGTATGTCAATTAGGCAACACATGCCAATAATATTAAACCACATACCCCGACAGCCACACATCTGTCTATCGCAACGAATGCATAAGGTATAAATGAGTCTAAACTTATTAGCCAGCTCATATGGTTCTATATGGCAACACATCCATATAATATAAATGCGACATAATTAAACAGTCCATTTATTTCCTGAAATGCACACAGCATAATAATCATGGTTTATATATCAATTAACAGTATAAACATCCTATAAGATATCATGGATAATTTATCTGACTAAAACCATGGCCTTATTTAATTTAACAGTAATGTTTGATACCATTAAATACGATAATAACACTATTTATATTTAACAATGTCGTTAAATAAATCACATTAGTATCTGTACTGTGAACGAGCCAATAAATGCTTAGAAAAGATTAATCGGCCATAAGAATAAGTAACGGGTATTAAAATAATAATTTCGTGGCCCGTTAAACCCGTAATTACCAACACAGTACCTAAAAATCCAAGTTTAAGGTTCTGGAATTTACAAAACAGGCCCTAGGGGTATTCTGGTAATTTCCAGCAGCTGTAGGGACCCCACACGCGCCCTCACGCGCCTCCCAGAGCCTCCCCACGCGCAGCCCAACCTTCCCCACTCTCCCACGCGCCTCCACGCGCGTCTGGCATCAGCCACGCGCTCCCACGCGCGCGCACGCGCTGCCACGCGCGCACTAAGGGTGCCTTGCTGACGTGTCACTTCCTGGTTGGTTGGCTGCATCCGGACTCCGTACTCGCGTCACACCGGATCATCTCACCCTATCTTCCCTCCATCCAACGCCCACAGATCCGGGTGTACCGCGGTATCATGGACCGCGATGCACCGGATCAATCAGACTCCACTAATGGCCAAGATGCGCGCGTACACCCTCCTATGGTGCGCCGCGTTGCACCGGATCACTCCGGTCGTCTCCCCTACTGCCGGCGACCGGAAAACTCGCCGGAAGGTCGCCGGAAAGTGCAGAAAATGCCCGGAAAAATCTAGAAAATTCTAGAAAAATCCCTAAAGTCTTATTTAATTATTTTTAGCCATTATTAATTTCATAGGACATTAAATAAATATATACCATCCTATATAATTAAAATTCCATTAATTGAATAAAATAAAATTAATAATTTATTAACCTCTAAACCTTGACTCTATGCATAAAACTAAGCTAAACAATTAATTTATTAATTCAAAGGGGAAAAGTAGATAATAACTTGCCTTTTTGGATTTAAAATAAATCCGCCGGTCTGCGCGTAGTCGGGTAAAATTGCCTACACCGGTCCAAGCTTCTTTCTCTTTCTCTTTTCCTTTCACTCTTATAAAATAGCTCTCTAGAATTTATACTTTGCTTCTAACTCCCTTTATTTTTTTCTAAGGCAAGCTAGTTAATTTATACACAAAATATATAATATAAATATTACAAATATCTTATTTATAATAACTTCTCACCCATTTCTCATACTCCTACCTATATGGCTTTAAGACAATGCTATCTTTAATCAAGATATTTGATCCACCATTCTACCATAGTAAATGAAATTCTATCCTAGTATTTAATTTTTCATCATTACCTTGATTTAATACTAATATTATTATTACTAATATTATTATTAATAAAACTTTTATAATTATTATTATTATATTATTATTAATATTATTATTATTATTATTATTATTAAACTAATATAATTATTATTATTACAAAATAATACATTATATCATCATAATACTATATAACACAAATATAATACTTTACTTAACTAATAATGATTAATATAAGCATAACCAACAAATAAAATTATTAAAAATAATACATGCATATTTACATGAACAAATTTACTATTTTAACATACACAATTAATTTACATGCACAATTAAATGAACCTAATATAATAATGTAGTATGCACAAATAAATAAAATTAATTAACCTAACACAAAATTAATTTAAATACATTCTTTAAAATTTCGGGGTATTACATTCTCCCCCCCTAATAAAGGAATTTCGTCCCCGAAATTCACTACATACCTGTATTAAAAAGTCCTGGATACTTGGCATGGATAATATCTTCCCGTTCCCAAGTAGACTCTGTAGCATTATGATGACTCCACTGTACACGTACTAATGGAATAGTCTTCGTGCGCAATATCTGATTCCTACGATCGAGAATACAGTAAGGTTGTTCCAAATAGGTTGCATCGGGTTGCAACTCAATCTCACCCACATCAATGTGTTGGTATCGATCTTCATCCCGTAGAAATTTTCGCAGCATAGATACATGAAAAACATTATGTACCCTATGAAGATTATCGGGTAGAGCCAGACGATAAGCTACTGCCCCAATCCGATCTGTAATCATAAAAGGACCCACAAAACGAGGCGATAACTTACCCTTTGACCCAAACCGCATTACTCCCTTCATGGGAGAAACCTTAAGCAAAACCTGATCACCAACCTTAAACTCCAAAGCACGAGTTCGACGGTCAGCATAACTTTTCTGTCTGCTTTGAGCTGTACGCATCCGATCCCTAATGATAGCGATCTTTTCTGACGTGTCCTTAATAAATTCAGGACCCAAAAAGCTGTTCTCACCAACTCCAAGCCAACAGACAGGAGACCTACACGGTCTGCCGTACAAAGCCTCAAATGGTGCCATACCAATAGTTTTCTGATAACTATTGTTATAAGCAAACTCTGAAAGCGGCAAATATTCCTCCCAATTGCCCTTAAAATCAAGAACACATGCCCGCAACATGTCTTCTAAAATCTGATTAACTCGCTCAGTCTGTCCATCTGTTTGAGGATGATAAGCAGTGCTAAGATATAGTTCTGTACCCAAAGCCTGCTGAAAGCTCCTCCAAAATCCTGATACAAACTTCGGATCTCTATCTGATACGATGGACAATGGTACTCCATGAAGTTTCACCATTTCTGCAATATACAGCTTAGCATACTGTTCTGACGTAAAGTTTGACCGAACAGGCAGAAAGTGAGCGGACTTGGTCAATCTATCAACAATGACCCAAATAGAGTTGTGATTATGCTGTGAAGTAGGTAATCCCTCTATGAAGTCCATGGAAATACTCTCCCATTTCCACTCTGGTATGGGAAGTGGCTGTAACGATCCTGGCGGTCTCTGATGATCAATCTTAATCATCTGACAGGTGCTACATTTAGAGACAAAGATAGCTATATCTCTTTTCATGCCAGCCCACCAAAACTGGCGTTTCATGTCCTGATA